ATTTATCAATTAATCCAATGACGGGAAACAAGATAATATGAAGTCGTTCGAACAATGAGTACAGAAAATAAATCTCTTTTTGATACACACACATAGTACTTGACACAAAAATCCATATACCTTAAAGGGACTTGGTAACATTGTTCAGATGAGAGATAGTGGTTCTAAGGTAGTGACTTCAATGCTAAATGTACAATTAAAGATAATCTGACAATTTGAGTGAAAACGGACCATTATTCATGGTACAAATTGGGAAAAACTGATCTGATCGATTCCTTAATTCTCCCAACTAGGTGTAGATCTAGTGAATGGAAATCTCACAAAGCAATAAAGTGGCTCTACATTCCATTCCAGACATTTAAGTGTTGACAGATTTTTTATAGCCTGTTTTATGTCTTTTTTTCATGGAAAAACGGTTGGGAAAATTTAAAAATGGTTGGGAGAATTTACTGTTAATCACTGTTAGAGGGTGCCTCACATCGACGCCTTCAAAGAAAACCATAGATATCTTCGTGGTTTGAGAATTTTTTAAGGATTTTTTGCCTGTCAGAGGGTTAGTACAGTAGAAGGAATATAGTAAGTAACATTTTATACAAAAATTAAGCAATTTTTTTCATCAACCTTCAACAATGTTACCAAGTCACTTTAATACAATGCAATATAAACTATTTGACAAATTTATGCAGACAAAAAAAATAACATTGCTTGCAGCCCATCAATTAATTGTAAATAAAACCTTTTTTTTTACAAAAGAATATGAACTTGCTGGGTGAAAGACATAATGAAAGGGAAAATATAGAATGAAGAAGGACACTTTAGTATATAGTTTTTACGTTTGCGGCACATAGCGTTGTCACCTATACCATACATCTACATTGATAATAAAACTATACAAGCAATACATTCATATTCTCGGTACCTCGGTATCTTTATGTTCCAACTGATTAATAACAAGTTACCTCTCCCTATTTCCTCCATTTTCCAAAAAAATAACGAGATACATTCATACCCTACAAGACAGTCGAACCACTTCCACACTCCTCGAATGAGAACAGCTTTCGCACAAAAAACAATTATTTACACCGGTCCAGTATTTTGGAATAACATAGATCCATCTTTTAAACAAAGTACCAGTCTAAAAAAGTATACACATTTAAAAAAGTTAAAGATTAAACTTTTAAACACATATATATGATCGAATCTCGGTTTGTTTGACTCTCGACTCAATTTCTTTCTCAATCTCTTTCTCCCTCATTTTACTGATCTAATTTCCCTTTTCTAGAGCTTTTGCAATCTTTCATTTTCCCTTTTTTTTTGTATCTTTCTTTCTTTTTGTCTTCTACTATGTTCCTTCATTTTTTTTCCATTTTTTTTTATTACCCCCCCCCCCCCAATTTAGAATTTCTTAGCTACATATTTGTCTATTTATTGATTTCTAAGCATACTTTGTACATGTTTTATTGAAAAACAGCATCTGAGGAACTAACACTTCAACAAGCTCTGCTTAAAGTTAGTTCCTCTTTTCTCGTGCTATTTCCATTATATTTATCGTTTCACATATAAATCTCATATTTTCATATTCTAGAATTCCTTAGTATATTTTATTTAGTTGACATTCACACTGTGGTGCTACTTTCATTTCATTTTCACTCATCCTTTCCAAGCGCTATAGTAAGAAAGATAACAAAACAGTCCTTTTCAGGACTACACACCCCCAAGAAAGATTACCGAGTCAGATTCCTTTTCAGGACTCCTCAACCCCCCTCTCTCTCTCTCTCTCTCTCTCACACATGGTGCACCCGAAAGCCTACTGTATATTTTCATTTTGTTTTAAATAAACGTTATCTTCTGTTTTTTTAATGTATAAATTCGAACTGTTTCATTGTCAGACAAGGTGGAATTGTTTATACATTGCTCTATTTAAAAAAATTAAAGGTTAATAACTCATCACCTATCATGCCTAGGCGTTGTGGCGTGCGCCTGTAATCCAGCTAAAAAGTGGAAGTTACAAACTGATTCAGCCGAGGACGCAGGTTCGAAACTGAGTCACGTCTTTCGGATGGTGACGTTTAAAGGTCGGTCCCAGACGTAAATAATCATATCTGATTGATACACGTCTGTAAAAACCCAATACACACACACGCCTATGAAATTAAGTTACGTCAATGCAAGACCGGCACTAGAGCATGATAGAATGACAGTCGTTCAATTTGAACGTCAAGCCCTTAACTGCCAAACTAACAGCAAGGGTATGGGGTACATGTTGTCCCCAGTATACCATTATTCCTCTCGAGGTGAATATTCATTATGCTATGATCATATTTTTGCCATTTAAGGATATGATTATTTACCCGTGCAGGATTCCGTCTTTATATGGCCTTGTGTAGGGTGTAATTTTTAAACAACTAGCAAGATAAATCGGAATTTAACCATCATGCGAATGAAACTAACATAGTTTATTCCTTAAATAGAAGAGAATGAAAAGTAATAATTTCAGTACATTGAATCACTATGGCATGTGCTTATTTAAAATGTCAGTCTTCGAGATATTATTTACATTAATATGATTATTTGAAATTCTTTACCAACTTCACATTCAGATTAAGATAACAAACGTGAAAATCGTAGCAGAAAAAAATATTTTGTGTCCCAATATATGCAATCTACATAAATACCTTTCGATGTTACAGACACCATGTATTGGGCGAGAATATACCCAGTCCATAAATACTAAATCTACAATTTCAAAACTGTTTTCAAGTGGTATTATACAAAATAAATGGACCACTTCATGCAGTAAATACAGATAAATGTTCATATAGAAATACAAATCCAGTAACATGGACACATATCGAAACGATTATATCACAATCTACAATTCGCCCCCCCCCCCCTCCACACCCTCTAACTGATAAAATCCGGGCTACGCCGCGCCGCGAGTCGGATATTACAGGAAAAAGAAAACTCAATAATCAAGTTCTATCTCAAAATAAAGAAAGTGAAATTGCAAACAGATGTATCAAAATGGTTTGAAAATTAACGTTTTCTTTAACTTGATGAGCTTTTCATCCTTAAATGATCATGGGTGACTGAGCATTGATCATTACAAAAAATGCTGAAATCACCTTAGTATACGATGAATGGTGTTTCAGAGTTATCTTCATTACAATGACTCCAATAAAGACTATTCATCCAAATCTTAGGTTGACTATACATTTCATTCAAAATGTTTTCAGGGGAATTCGACATGCATATCATTTTAGTAATCAATTTGTCAATTTCAAGAAAACAGAATAGGCAACAAAGTAAATATCTTTAATAAATATCTATGTACATGTACAGCTGAGTACAAAGATAATTACGTATGGTTATCTGTGATTTTTTTTTTGTTGATTTTTTTTTGATTTTTTTTTTACTCACACCGTATTCATCTAAACACATTTCAAACCATTCAAGACAGGTGACAAACATTGATACCTCTGGAATAGTCCGGACACCCGAGGGGATAACCGAAGGTGTCCGATCTGTTTCGAATGAACTCGAGATGGATAAATCTCCCGCTCCAGCCTCCCCCCCCCCCCCCCACTCAGAGTTATTTAAGGTACGCGTATGCTTGTTCCCTCCCTTTGAAAGCATCCCCTATCTCAGGACTGACTGCCAACATTTCTGACCCCCCCCCCTTTCGCGGACTTTTCCTGCCTTGGAGACACCCTCCCCCCCTTAAATCCGGAACACTGCTCAATGTACCGTATCTATGATATTCAAGATATTTTATAACCTCCTCTTAAATTTCTAAGGAGTCTAAAAAGAGAGAGCAAAAAGACCCCCCTTTTTAATATTTTATAACCTTCTTTTTAAATTTCTCAGGAATCCAAAGAGAGAGAGAGAAAAAAAAGAAAAAAACTTTTCTCCGGGTGAAAATAATCGCCGTCCTCCCACATTTCGTAGATCAAGGATTCAACATTTATTCAACCACACGTTTCTTACGGAATAGAGGTGTGGGAAGCCCTTATAATTCTAAACTAAGAAGTATATTGTATTTACAGAAAATAGCAATTCGTGCTATAAACATCTAGTGAATGGAGACCTCCTCTAGCTCCATTATCTAAAAGATTGCGATTCAAATGACTTTATTTAGCTGTTTAAGGGCTCGACTAACACATGTGCTAATATCTAGCCTCTTTTACCAACCAATAGTTTACTTTCTTGTATATACAAACACATCGTATGAAATGTGTTACTGTATTGCTGTTGGTAAATAAAGTAAAATAAATCTACTGTGTGAGTCAAAAAAAAGTTTACACTCAGAACATTGTCATTTATTATAAAAGTTAGCTATGAACGAAAGGTTATCATACATGTTTTGAAAAAGTGTTATATCCCGAATCGTTTGGTATTATTTTTGTGTAGTATGTGTTCACGCTTTGACGAACAAAAGGCATAGTTTGTGAGAGTGCAAAAATAAACTTGCACAAAATTGAGAGAATGAATTGAATGTATCAAATGAGATGCATTGCATAAGCTTTTTGCAGAAACAAATGTTCTTTGATATTAGATATTTGATAAGTGTGGTATGATTAATTTTGTTAGGGATGTTATTTGGATCTGCAAAGACCGAATTAATACCCAAATCCCAATTGTTTTATTCAAACATCACATAAGCATTACTGGCGCAAGTCGATTTTTGCACTCTCTTAAACAAGGTCTCCTGCTCATCCAAGCGTGAACACATACCCCTCACAAATTAAACCAAATGATTTGGGATAAAACACTCTTTCATAAGATATATAACAATTTAATGTTTATAGAAGATTTTAAAAAAATTTAAAAATTAGCAATTTTCGAGGTGTGAACTTTTTGTTGCCTCACACTGTATAAACGAGTAAATGCTGGTCACAAAAATGCTAATGACTAGTCACTAGAAGAGCTAATGATCGGTAACGCGTGAAGGCAAGCAAAGATAAATGCCCGGTCATATGTCATGTACATGTACGTCCGTTCTCAATCAATCATTTTATAATAATTATCGTCACTATTTAATAGTGAGAAATAAATAAATAATACAAATACTGCAATAGCATCAGTGTGGGCACGTGGTGGGTTGCCACTTTAAATTTCGGGAATTTTTAAGACTTCATTTCGGTTCAAGTTGCAATTGTTCTGATGTTGTTCGTTGGCTCAGCCTCATAGAAATTCTGCGAAAAAAGGGAGACCTGCATGGAAAACAGCAATCAAGAATAAGTTGTTTTCTGAAACGCGAGCTCAAGATGTACATCATAATCGGGTTAAAACAACACAAAACGTAAAACGGAATCCGAGCCCAGCGATAAAATGCAACGAAGGATGGTGAATGAATCAAACTAGATTTAAACTCAAACAAGATGTTGACAATGGTGCCTGGCAACTGGGCAACAAAAAACATGGCCGAGAGAACGGTTACCACCACAGCGATCTTGACACGAGATCGGATTCGGGGGCTCCGTCGCCTGTTCTGACGACCACTGCCGTTCAAAGAGCGGTTTAATTCAGAATTCCTTACGACAGGATCTCGGATACTTTTTAAAAGTGTACATGCTATGATAATGTGGACCGTTACAATCATGATAAAAGGTATTATAAACGTCGTCACGGCGCGAAAGACCTTGTATATTTTGGCTGTATCCGTATGGTGAGCGATCCATTTACAACCATTTATTTTGTACTCGGCCAAAACTATTACGGGAGCTGCCACGATGAAGGAGCAGATCCATATTGCAGCGATAATCAATCCATTTGAGTGTATTGAACATCTTCGAAAAGAACCCGAGCAGCAAGTTTCTCCGCAACGGTTGAATGGATCGGCGATTTTCTGGTAGCGCTCAATGGACAGCGCCACCAAAGAGTACACCACGACGCATGCGCTCATGATCAATGAGGCGGTCGTGAATTTGCACATGAAATCGCCCCTCACATTCGTGTTACCCTGCATTAATTCGTACTCGATTACAAAAGGGACATTGATAAGCAGACACACGAGATCCCCGACCATGAGATTGACGAATAGAATATTTTGCGTCTTCCGAAGAAAGCTGTTCTTCAGGACGATGAAAATAAGCGATCCATTGGCTAAAATGCCGAAAATCATGACACAGGAGAGTATTGTGATCCGTGGCCAGTTTATAGCAGCAGGGATGAAGGGCCGAGTCATTTCGGTTGTATTCATGTTGACTTCGGTGTAATTAGTACAATCCCCATACTCCATATCTGAACAATTCGCCATAGAAGGTGTGGCTGTCATAGTGCATCAGATATCCTAAAGAGATAGATGTACACTGTTAAAAGTCACCGAGGTGTCATGCCACTATTCTCAAGTTTGTAGGACGAATCTGAATCGAATGTGTCCGATATTCCACGCTACTGGATCGAGTGGGCTCTGGAAGGCACAACCAAGGTTCGGTATATCTGCACAAAAAGAAAGATAAAATTATAATAATAATAATAATAATAATATTAATATTTAATGTTGATATAGCGCTTAATACAAATGTCTCTATATATATATATGTAAATATATACTATTACCCCGGTTATTGGATTCAGTGCTTGCCCGCACACAATGTGTGCACAATCTCCACCCCCTGGGGAGCATTCCAGCCAGGTGTTACATGACGCTCAAAAACTGTTTGACCAACAATGACGGTCATATTCTACCGGGTATATATATGAATGTGTGACAACAATTTGAAAGAGCGTTGGTACGCAACCATGTCTACATGTATTATGACTACGCTTCCACGACACAGCTTCTGGGACAATAGCTCCGGCGGGGGTCTATTTCCTACAGTATCCGAAGTCCACCGTCAACGGTGGACTAAGCGCTAAAACGCTTAAAGGAAACCGAACCCCAAGTTATAACTTTACTTATTCAGAGAGATTTATTATGTTATTACCCATACATCTACAAGATTCCCCACCAAAGTGTATGACAGAGGTGTAAAGCAAAAATAAAGTACAGTTTCTCAGCACGACATGGGCATCGCCATTTTCTTGATAATGTGACGTACTATGCGAAGTCGTTTATCAAGTAAATGTATTCAAATTTATGGATGCTTCTTTCCCAGACGTGTGTGGTGATGAAGCATTTCATTCACCTGCTATTATCCTTTGTACTATAATTGCTAGAACGCAAATTGTATAAATTAGTTAGTGCTCTTCTGGGTTGAAGGTTTCTCATAAATGAAATAGATTTGTCAACTGCTATATTGTAGTATTTATAAAAGAATTTGTTACAATTGTGCCCCTGTTATTTATTTTTCACCTAATATAATTTCTATCATCTCAGTTGTTATTGTTTTTCATTGAAAAGTAAAGGTTTCGTTATTGATTTAAAAATTCATTCCAACTAAAGCTTGGTGCATGATACATGTACAACTTCAACAGATACGTCACATTTTTAAGAAAATGGCTGCGCCCATGTCATGCTGACAGGCATCACATCATGCCAGGAATATCTTCATTTATATATATCTTGTACATTTTCGTAAGGAATATTGTACATTAAAGGGCAGGAATACATCTCATTTTTCAGAATACCTACACTTATTATTTGGGTTTAGGTTTCCTTTAACCTTTCTCTAAACTTTTCACAAAATGTATACATTATAAAATATGTCCTGGAAGCATGTTTATAATGTAGATATTAAATTGGCATCCATCTGCATACATATCGTGTGCATCAGATAAGGTAAGGGTTAAGGTTAGGTTAAGGGTTGTTGCTATTTTTAGAAACATCAACGACTGGTTAAAATAATGCCTACGATCATAAACTCTATCAAAACATTGCCCTTATCCCAACACTTTTGGCGCAATAAAGTCCGAGCAGATGCCGTCGAAAAGGTTAAACCATGGACCTACTAAAACGAATCTTATATTCACCGGTACCCGGTACTGACTGACAAGGTGAGCTGACACCCAGTGCTCTGCGGTCCTTCAGTTTCACCATTTTTTTTTTTTTTTTTTTTGGGGGGGGGGGGGGGGGGGTAAGAGCACATTTTAAAAAAAAATTGTCCCGAAAATTTGAAAATTTGGCCGACCGATATTTGAGGTCACCGTTTGGCCTATTTTAAAACAAAATTTGAGGGGGGGGGGTCCTCCAAAACACAAACATTAAAAAATTGGGGGGGGGTTGACCCCCAACCCCCCCCCCCCTCTGCGTACGCGCCTGACTACTAGTACTTCCTCCACAACTACTACTACTATTACTACTACTACTACTACTATACTATTACTACATGTACTACTACTATAATTATGTAGGGGAGAAAGCACCAGTGTCTTGCTTTCGTAGAATTCTAATATCACAAATGTAAATACATCGTAGAATAATTGTTTTGCACCTCCGAACCGAGGTTCTTGCCTTTTGTAAACATTATGTTATATAATTCTTTATCTTTTTATTTAGTGTAAAATACCAAAGCTTTGTATTTCATCACAGAACATATTTTACCCTAGATGTATAATAGCTTGTAGCTTAAGTATGCATTCAGCTTAGCTTAGGTAAGCGGACACTTTTTTTTTTTTTTGGTATCGAAATTTGAAAATTTGACATTTTGCTCCGTTGGGGGGGGGGGGTAAGGTCATCTTTTTGAGGTCGGCCATGGGATTTTTTTTTTTTTTTTTTTTTTAATTAAAACAAAACAAAAAAATCCAAAAGGGGGGGGGGGTTTTAGGGAAATTTAGGGGGGGTTTACACACAAACAATTACCAAAGGGGGGGGGGGGTTAACCCCCCAAACCCCCCCCCCCCCTGTGTACGCGCCTGAGTAGTAGTAGTAATAATGATGATAGTAATAGTGATAATATTAATAATAATAATAATAATGATAGTATGTAATGCTTTTTATAGCTCATATTACATTGATGTCTTTTGCGCTGTATTCACGATAAGGAAACATAATTAATATGCTGTGAAAGAATCAGGAAACATAATTAATATACTGCGAAATAATCAGGAAACCAGTAAAGGAAAACATAAAAGCATAGTAGAAAAACACGATGAACTGTGTGTATGAAAGATTAAAGTCGACCTAGATATACATTCATTTCCTTTGCAACCAAAGAGAACATCCCACGGATTTCATATCCTATAATATTAACCTGTTGAGTACACCATTCTCTCATTCTTTTACAGACCACTGGTTTCCCGTACGCAATGGGTTCAAAGAAAATTAGTAAGATATTATGTTAAACCTATCATACTATATCGAAATTATATATGAATGAGTAATTGTTATATCTACCTGAAATGGTCTCCTTTGCAAGTTTCAGTGATATATCCAGGATCCTTGCGTGTATACTAAAAAGTTTCCTGACAAAACAGATGTCTCGCAACTCTACCAATTTCTCTACCAAAACTAGCCGACGAAGGCATTTATGCGTATTACACGTACTCAAACTGAATTAGGAGTTATTGCCAAATTCCTAACTTCATTCGCAGACATCATTGTTATTCACTATCCACTCTGCTATGACATTCATATTTATGTATCACAATACGCCATAACGGAGAATTAGAATTATAAGTGCTATAACTGTGGAGTTGGTATTCTAGAATAAGAGGAGGTGCAGACAGCGCACGGCATATGTAATTATTATCTGCATCTCTATGAACGCGCACATTTTGGCGAGTTCGCAAAGATACTCTTGACGGTAGCGCAGAATGCATACGAAATAGGTGAAGAGAGCAGGCACTAATGCATGGTCGGAAAGGGGGATGGGGTGGAGGGAGGGGGGGGGGGGTAGCAACGTGAGGTGAACAAAACGGTTGATGGGGTTAAGTGACATGAGTGTGTAACGTAACCGAGTCGGGTGAATACTAGAATCTCCATTTCAGCCTCCGTGGGGATTCTAAGGGGTGTAAAACGCCCCCCCCCCCCCAAAAAAAAATGATGCTTCTGAGAAATACCGCTTGCAACACTTTGATGTAAAAAAATTATTTAACAAAAAAGGAAAGGAGAATTAAAAAAAAAATCAAAGTTCAATCTGCACGTCTTTGAAACATGAAAGTTACCAGGATCAGAGGGCACACCGCTCAGCAGATCTTGGCTTTTAATATTTTTTTTTTTGGGGGGGGGAGGGGGGGGGGTTGAATATCCCGCGGCTCGGACGAAAAACATCATGCAGCTGGGCTTTTAGCATTTGTATGGTGAAAGACACGTGCACATGAGCTTGTAATGCGAATTCAAACTTGTTTTTCAATAAAACTTTGTGCAGTTGCAGATGACCTTATTGCCTTGCTCTGATGCCATCATTGTGCAATATCAATGGGAACCACATTTTCGTCGGCCTAAGGCACAATATTTGTGGAGAAATAGAATGATCACGGAATTTCGCACAATACAAAAGCCAAGCCCAATTGTAAGACTTCCTGTCATTCTCTTTTGAGCAATTTTGCCCCCACACGTTGTATATATGTCAAAGTTTACTTTGAAAGAGGAAAACATGTCTATATTCATTTCCTAGTTTACAAAACCATGCATCAAGTTGATATGTAATTGGTACAATATGATGACGCGTTAAAAGACCGCCATCACGTGATCAGACTCTAGCTTAAGATGGTGGTCTCCTGCCCTTTTTTCAAATTTGAAATGATTTGTGAGCTATGTGTTTTTTTGAAAGGTATAATCAATAATTGATTTATATTATGATACGATTATACATGTATTTGGTTTTTTAAACTTTTGTTAACAATGTCCTTAATTTGTTAATTTGTATTACTTTGAGTAAGGTTGAAAATGCAGTAATAAAATCAAACAAACAAGCAACAGTTCAGATATTTTAAAAGGTCACTAAATTACAAATTTATATTGACTTTTGTTGATCTGTACAGTAAAACTGTATACAACACAAATCTTTAGACGTTTTGATGTACATTTATGTCATATATTTTATATCATTTTTTCTATTACTTTTGTTCTACCTGCTAAGTTTCACCCCTAAAAAGAAACCTCCAGAAGAAAATGACTTTTGTGACATCATTCATCATGCCTGTCATTGATGTCCCTTCCCATCAAGTGACCGCCTGTTCACAATAGCATTGCATGTTTTTATACAATGCCCACTCACAACATTCAATTACATTTTAAGCAGTTGCTATGTCAGAAATCCCCAAGCAACACCATGAGAAGAAGGATTTCAATGGGCTATCATATGAAAAAATGCAGTGCTACTGCATAAGGTACTCAGTGGGTGAGGACATACCACTGCATTTTGTGAACAGGTGGTCAGTTGATGGGAAGGGACTTACCAATGTCTTTTGTTCACCTAGCTGACTGATGAATGACTGGCACAATAATGTCACAAAAGTCATTTTGCTTTTGGAGGGTTTTCATAGGGGTGAAGCTAAGCAGGTAGAACAAAAGTAATAGAAAAAAATAATACATCAAAAAGTCAAAAGATATTTGATGTATACAGTATTACAGATCAACAGATGTCAACATGAATTTGTAATTTAGTGACCCTTTAAGTAAAAAGTGTAATAAAAGTGTACAGTGTTACCGGAGCAGTAGTGAATATCTCGATGTGGGTAGGGGAGATTAGAATATATATTAAATGCATACATTAGAGGTAATACAAAGTTTTGGTATGGGTTCATGAATTTGGTCCAAATGAACATATTGGAAGCATATGCGATCGTACAATATTCAGTGAGCGTTGTCGCGGTTGAAATCGAATCTAAAGTTATGAAATTGTAAATAATAACCTCTTTATGTTGTTTAGCTCCCTCTCAAGGTCAATATATTAATTAAGCTATAACACAGTGTTTCTTGACTAAAATCGACCGATTAGCTATTTCCGTTTGGAAATTATATATCACAATTACATACTCTGAGATTTTCATGGTCGCATCTACGATTGTACGGCCGTAGGCGCTATTTGAAATTTATCAAAATTACCGGGAGCACCGGTAAATTTTTGTATTCAATTTTTCTCGAAAGCAGAAGTGTTTTAGGGGCTAAATTTTCTTGTGCTTATAATACATCCACAGGGGCATCCAAATACATCAAAATTGTAAAGAATCACTTCTATCAAATTTTCAAAATTTCCCAAAACTTTGTATTACCTTTAAGGCGACTCACCCAAATTGTATGAGCAAAACACCTTGAACCCGGAACCTCTCGTTTAAGAAAGAGCACACCAACCAACCACTGAGCTCCTTCTTATCACGTGAGGTATACCCGAGTCAAACTTTTGCAGGTAGGTCTTTGCTCATGACCTTGAAGATTGCTCCCAACTTTAAAAAAAAACCCGTTGACCCTTTATCACACAGATTAATAACAATGTCAAAACCATATCCTATATCAGTTATAAACAATGTCACTTTTCTTGAAATTTAACGGGAAGGCTAGCCCATTACAAAATTCTTAATTCTTATAATAAAACTACACAAATCCATGTGGGGGTAGGAACTACATCAACCGGATTTAGATTGTATTATTGAAATTTGCAAGCGATTAACATGATAAAATTTCGTTAAATTTTGTTGCGGGCATGGCAAAAAGGAGATACAATATTATTACGAGGGCACAATCAGTTTTATGAAAATAAGCAGTATCATATTTTTGCTTGCTTTGGTCGTAAAAAACACCACCGTGACCCCATTGATAATTGTTGTTAGGAAATATGTTGGCTTGCAACCAACAAATAAAGATCGCGTGCTCGATCTTGTAATTGAAAACAAGTCTCATAAAATCTTAAAATCGGCGGAATTTGAACCTGCCGTCTACTGCTTGTCGGGTAGCTACTCTACCACCAGCACCCGGCGATCACTGGTAATAAAGTATAAGTATATAATATTTCCATATCCATGTTTCTCAATATCATAATTCCCTTTCTCTTTTAGCCTAATTTGCCTTATATCTTCCCCAAAATAAAATGATTTTGACACGAAAGACACCATAATTATTTTGATATTTTCTTTATCGTTGTATTAATTACCTTTTGATTACCCTTTCAGAGAGATAGTTTAATAGCAATGTGAAAACCATATTTTCTCAGTTATCAATGGGGTCTCTTTTACTAAAGATAAGTTTATAACAAATTCTTGTTTAAAAAAAAGTGGACACCTTTTTTCTGAGTGTTTATGCAATACCGTGAGCCCTCGTCGCCTCACCGCTAAAAGGAAATTGCAGCCATTAACAGGGTATGGCGTTAGTGCCTAGATGGCAGCGAACTGACGCTCTGTAGTTTTGCCCCCCCCCCTGAGGCAAAAATCTGGATACGTCACTGACTGCCGTTAAATATTACATCATGCCCCCCCCCCCACTCCCCAAATGTTTCTGCTTACAGGGATAGGTCATTATTCAGGATCTTTTTTCTTTTCTTTTTTAAGATATGCAACCAACCCCTCCCCCTCCCTCAATGAGGAAAGCGTCTAGCATGTATTCGTTTCTGTTAGCAGTGCAGTTATCTATTACATCTATGTAGGATCTTTCGTGGGCCTGAGACATTTTTTTTCTTCTCCGGAACTGGGATTAATCGGTCACGCATATGGTATCCCTGACATTGTGGCTGGGATTGTGATTCGTCACACTATTTTTGACCTGAGTTGGATCTGAAAACGAAACCAGGTCAGCCCAATAATGTGCTCTCCCCCCCCCCCCCCCCCCCCCCCCCCGCCTATTCAGCGGCTGGCTGAGTCGTTGCGATGTTTTGGGAACCAAAAAAAAAAAAAAAAAAAAAAAAAAAAAAAAAATATATAATATATATATATATATATATATATGTCCTCTTACCCCCCCCCCCCCCCGCTACGGCCGGCCCGATTATGCCATTTTGTGCCCCCCCCCCCGGTAAGAAATTCCTGGATCCGCCACTGGATGGGAAGGATTATGATGGTTGCAACAGATCGAAATGATGATTTACTGTCACATTTCAGGTAAGTACACGCTTGACCGGTCCTTTGAAGAAGTGTACGGTGAACAGCTTAGATCATTGAAGAATTCCAAACATCCGGACCATTACGGCTTATAACCGTGCGAGCAGACTTATGAGCCAATATACAGTGCGGATGGCCTAGTATAAGTATATCCAGGCGTGTACGCAGGGGGGGGGGGTTAACCCCCCCTTCAGTTTTGTTTATGTGTATGTTTTGGGGAACCCCCCCCCCTTTTGTTGAGTTTTGATATAGGCCTATGTCTCTTATTACCCCCCCCCCCCCCGCTTATTCAGCGGCTGGCTGAGTCGTTGCGAATTTTTGGCCCGATTTCAAAATGATAACCTCCCCCCCTTGAAAAAATCCTGCGTACGCCACTAAGTATATCAATACCTGCTTTAATATATTGTAGGATAAATGCGAATAGCATTGTTTCGTTGAAAAAATAGAAGAATAAACATATTTTCTCCCTCAGTAAAATAATATGAATAACCGATGTTTTGAGTTTTATGTTTCTCTTCACATTCTGTGATTTTGTAAACGCTATGATAAGGTATTTTTCTTTTGTAGCGCTCCTAAATAATCGAATTACTTGTTTATATAAAAAGGAAATGGGAAGAGATTGATAATCACGATAAAGACCGTGCTAGTACAACAGAAATATTACTTGCC